GTCTTGGCTAGCTTCACTTGGCCCAAGTGGAGTAAGCGCCAATCAAGGAGAATCAAATTTCGTGTGTTACACCTGAACTTTAACACACTACACAACCATTTTTGGTCCATGGCATAACAATTTAAATAAGTGTCGCACAAATGAATGACAGGGATGTTGTTGGGTTCTTGTCACGTGTTCTCATCAAATAAGATCATTTTTATTATAATTTTATTTATTTATGATATTATACAAAGCATAAATGTAATTTTGCCTAGCAATGTATCTACACTGCTATGCAGAGGGAATGATCTCTGTCTTCACCAAGAAAAAAAAAATGCATCATCCTAAGTTGGTTAGTATTTTATCCAGGTAGAATATTATCTAGGCATTTAATGACAATTGCAGAGTGACAAAAGCAATTTTCTTGAAAATGTGCTATACAATGATAATTATTGAGATAAACATGAAAAAATACAGTATACTAACCAAATATTTTTAAACACGAATTCAACCACATTTGGAATAATTGCTGGATTTTTTGTTTTCACATAAATTGTTGGAATTATTTGGACATAGGTTTTGTTTACATTGCAACGCAGCCTTATACCAATGATAATTTTAAACATTTTTAGGGGTTAGTACATAGCTCTAGAGTATATTTAGTTCCAGCATACCTAAATCATAGCTATTAGCAGTTAACAGTTAATAAGAGGGGATACCACCAAAAAGGTGCACAGAACCCTCTGCATTTTCATTCATGAAAACAGTATTAAATTGCTTCAAAGCATATTGCATAGTAAATTGAATAATAAAAGATATGAGGACATTCTTGTTTCAAAAACATTTGTTTCTTATTTCAAAAAACCCACTCTCGCATTCTACATCCATCAAACACCTTAAGCATTTCCCATTTACACTTTATTTTACTGCATTTTGCATGCACTCCTAAAATTCAATTTAATGGTAATGTCATTTTGTGTACTGTTTTATGTATATTAGATGTTTACATTGATCTCGCTCACTTGATATTTGATAAAGTTCTACTTTGCTGTGATCCTCAAATATACGGTTGATGAAATTCTTTCCCCATTAACAGTTCTTCAAATATGTGAGGAAAATTTTGGAATATACAAACCTACCATAAAACATTTCCCTTAAAACAGAGCTGTGATCAAATGGAGCAACCAGAAGGTATCCTGAGCTTTGAACAAGCATGAACTGTCAGTGTATTTAGTATCTCAAGAGAAAAGCTGCTCATCTAGAGGTAACATAATAGTCAAAACATTCAAGAAAATGGTTCATAAATGATGCATCTTAAGAGGTGACAGAGAAAAGCCTGAATAGAGAGCATGGGAGTAATGTGTGAATACGGCAAGGAGGTATAAATAGTCAATCACAAGGGAATAGCGAGCAGAAACTGACTGTCAAACAGGATGACTTTTTCTAAGTCTCAAGGATGCTAAAATGAGTGCTGAAAGATAGAGGGTAGAAAGTAATGAGAGAAAAAAATGCAGTTAATAAAAATCAGATCAAAGTTTCAAAAAATCAATTTAAAAATACTTAACGCCATAATAGGAAGAGATAGGAGGAAGAGGGAGAGAGAATGAGAGAGAGAGAGAGAGAGACAGAGAAAGAGAGAGAGAAAGAAATGGAATCATTTTGTCGTAGCCTTATTTTAATTTTTTTTTTTTTTTTTTTTTGAGATAGGGTCTCACTCTGTCACCCAAGCTGGAATGCAATGTTGTGATCACGGCTCACTGCAGCCTCAAAATCCTGGGCTCAAACAATCCTCCCACCTCAGCCTCCCAGGTAGTTGGGACTACAGGCATGTGCCACCACGCCTGGCTAATTTTTGTATTTTTGTAGAGACAGGGTCTTGCCATGTTGCCCAGGCTGGTCTCAAACTCCTGGGCTCAAGCGATCCTCTTGCCTTGGCCTCTCAAAGTGCTGGGATTACAGACACGAGTCACCATGACTGGCCTGTGTTAAACATGTGCATATGTTCTCTCTTTTTATTTTCAAGACGTTCTCCTTACTCTTGGTAGTATTTCTTTTCTTTTCTTTTTGTTTTTTTCAACTACACTTTAAGTTCTGGGATACGTATGCAGAATGTGCAGGTTTGTTACATAGTTACACACGTGCCATGGTGGCTTGCTGCACCCATCAACTTGTCATTTACATTAGGTATTTCTCCTAATGCTATACCTCCCATAGTCCCCCAACCCCTGACAGGCCCCAGTGTGTGATGCTCCCCTTCCTATGTCCATGTGTTCTCATTGTTCAACTTGCACTTATGAGTGAGAACAGGCAGTGTTCAGTTTTCTGTTACTGTGTTAGTTTGCTGAGAATGATGGTTTCCAGCTTCATCCCTGTCCCTGCAAAGGACATGAACTCATCCTTTTCTTATGGCTGCAGAGTATTCCATGGTGTATATATGCCACATTTTTCTTATCCTGTCTATCATTGATGGACGTTTGGATTGGTTCCAAGTCTGCTATTGCGAACAGTGCTACAATAAACACACATGTACACATCTTTATAGTAAAATGATTTCTATCATTGATGGATGTGTGGGTTGGTTCCAAGTCATTGCTATTGTGAACAGTGCTGCAATAAACACTCATGTGCACGTGTCTTTATAGTAAAATGATTTATAATCCTTTGGGTATATACCCAGTAATGGGATTGCTGGATCAAATGGCATTTCTGATTCTAGATCCTTGCGGAATTACCGCACTGTCTTCCACAATGGTTGAAGTAATTTACACTTCTACCAAGAGTGTAAAAGTGTTCCTATTTCTCCACATCCTCTCCAGCATCTGTTGTTTCCTGACTTTTTAATGATTGCTGTTCTAACTGGCATGAGATAGCATCTCATTTTGGTTTTGATTTGCATTTCTCTAACGACCAGTGATGATGAGATTTTTTTTTTATATGTTTGTTGGCCACATAAGTGTCTTCTTTTGAGAAGTGTCTGTTTATATCCTTTGCCCACTTTTTGATACAGTTGTTTGTTTTTCCTTGTAAAATTTGTTTAAGTTCCTTGTAGATTCTGGATATTAGCCTTTAGTCAGATGTGTGATTGCAAAAAATTTCTCCCATTCTGTAGGTTGCCTGTTCACTCTGATGATAGTTTCCTCTGCTGTGCATAAGGAGTTTAGTTTAATTAGATCTCATTTGCCAATTTTAGCTTTTGTTGCCATTGCTTTTGGTGTTTCAGTCATGCAGTTTTTGCCCATGCCTATGTCCTGAATGGTATTGCCCTGGCTTTCTTACAGGGTTTTTATGATGTTAGGTCTTACATTTAAGTCTTTAATCTATCTTGAGTTAATTTTTGTGTAAGGTATAAGGAAAGGGATCCAGTTTCAGTTTTCTGCAGATGGCTAGCCAGTTTCCTTTCCCCATTGCTTGTTTTTGTCAGGTTTGTCAAAGATCAGATGGTTGTAGATGTGTGGCATTATTTCTGGGGCCTCTGTTCTGTTCCATTGGTCTATATCTCTGTTTTGGTACCAGTGTCATGCTGTTTTGATTACTGTAGCCTTGTACTATAATTTGAAGTCAGGTACCATACCTCCAGCTTTGTTCTTTTTGCTGGATTGTCTTGGGTGTAGAGACTCTTTTTTAGTCCCATATGAAATTTAAAGTAGCTTTTTGCAATTCTGTGAAGAAAGTTAATGGTAGCTTGATGGGGATAGCATTGAATCTATGAATTACTTTGGGCAGTATGGCCATTTTCATGATATTTATTCTTCCTATCAATGAGCATGAAATGTTTTTTCATTTGTTTTTGTCCTCTCTTATTTCCTTGAGAGGTGGTTTGTAGTTCTCCTTGAAGAGGTCCTTCACATCCCTTGTAAATTGTATTCCTACATATTTTATTCTCTTTGTAGCAATTGCGAATGGAAGTTCACTCATGATTTGGCTCTCTTTGTCTATTATTGGTGTTCGGGAATGCTTGTGATTTTTGCACAGTGATTTTTTATTTTGAGACATTTGCTGAAATTGCTAATTAGCTTAAGGGGATTTGGGCTGAGATGGGGTTTTCTAACTATACAATCATGTAATCTGCAAACAGAGACAATTTGACTTCCTTTCTTCTTATTTGAATACCTTTTATTTCTTTCTCTTGCCTGATTGCCCTGGCCAGAACTTCCAATAATATGTTGAATAGGAGTGGTGAGAGAGGGCATTCTTGTCTTCTGCAAATTTTCAAAGGCAATGCTTCCAGCATTTGCCCATTCAGTATGATATTGGCTGTGGGTTTGTCATAAATAGCTCTTATTATTTTAAGCTATGTTCTATCAATACCTAGTTTATTGAGAGGTTTTAGCATGAATGGGTGTTGAATTTTATTGAATGCCTTTTCTGCATTTAATGAGATAATCATGGGGGTTTTTGTCATTGGTTCTGTTTATGTGGTGGATTACATTTATTGATTTGCGTATGTTGAACCAGGCCTGCATCCCAGGGAAGAAGCCAACCTGATCGTGGTGGATAAGCTTTTTGGTGTGCTGCTGGATTCTGTTTGCCAATATTTTATTGAGGATATTTGCACTGATGTTCATCAGGGAAATTGACCTGAAATTTTCTTTCTTTTTTTTTTTTTGGTTGTGTCTCTGCCAGGATTTAGTATCAGGATGATGCTGGCCTCATAAAATGAGTTAGGGAGGAGCCCCTCTTTTTCTATTATTTGGAATAGTTTCAAAAGGAATGGTACCAGCTCCTCTTTGTACCTCTGGTAGAATTTGGCTGTAAATCCATCCACTGGCTTCTTTTTTTTTGTTTTGGTAGGCTATTAATTACTTCCTGAATTTCAGAACTTGTTATTGGTGTATTCAGGGATGTGACTTCTTCCTGGTTTAGTCTTGAGAGGGTGTATGTGTCCAGGAATTTATCCATTTCTTCTAGATTTTCTAGTTTATTTGTGTAGAGGTGTTTATAGTATTCTCTGATTGTAGTTTGTATTTTTGTGGGATCAGTGGTGTTATCCCCTTTATCATTTTTTATTGTGTCTATTTGATTCTTCTCCCTTTTCTTATTTATTAGTCTGGTTCGAGGTCTATCTATTTTGTCAATCTTCAAAAAACCAGCTCACAGATTCACTGATTTTCTGAAGGGATTTTCATGTCTCTATCTCTGTCAGTTCTGCTTTCATCTTATTTATTTCTTGTCTTCTGCTAGTTTTTGAATTTGTGGGCTCTTGCTTCTCTAGTTCTTCTAATTGTGATGTTAAGTTGTTGATTTCAGATCATTCCTGCTTTCTACTGTGGGCATTTAGTGCTATAAATTTTCCTTCAAATACTGCTTTAGCTTTGTCCCAGAGATTCTGGCACATTGTGTCTTTGTTCTCATTGGTTTCAAATTATTTATTTATTTCTGCCTTATTTCATTATTTACTCAGGAGTAATTCAGGAGCAGGTTTTTCAGTTCCCATGTAGTTGTGCAGTTTTAAGTGAGTTTCTTAATCCTGACTTCTAATTTGATTGCACTGTGGTCTGAGAGACTTATGATTTTTTCTTTTTTTTTTTTTTTTGCATTTTCTGAAAAGTGTTTTACTTCCAATTATGTGATCAATTTTAGAATAATTGTGATGTGGTGCTGAGAAGAAAGTGTATTCTGTGGATTTGGGGTGGAGAGTTCTTTAGATGTCTATTAGGTCTGCTCGGTCCGGTGCTGAGTTCAAGTCTTGAATATCCTTGTTAATTTTCTGTCTTGTTGATCTGTTTAATATTGACAGTGGGATGTTAAAGTCTTCCTATATTATTTTGTGGGAATCTAAGTCTCTTTGTGGTCTCTAAGAACTTGCTTTATCAATCTGCGTGCTGCTGTATTGGATGCATATATATTTAGGATAGTTATTTCTTCTTCTTGCATTAATTCCTTTGCCATTATGTAATGCCCTTTTGTCTGTTTTGATCTTTGTTGGTTTAAAGTATGTTTTATTAGGGACTAGGATTGCAACCCCTGCTTTTTTTTGCTTTCCATTTGCTTGGTAAGTCTTCCTCCATCCGTTTATTTTGAGCCTCTGTGCATCTTTGCATGTGAGATAGGTCTCCTCAATACTGCACACTGATGGGTTTTGACTCTTTATCCAATTTGCCATTCTGTGTCTTCTAATTGGGGCATTTAACCTCTTTACATTTAAGGTTAATATTGTTATGTGTGAATTTGATCCTGTCTTTATGATGATAGCTTTTGCCCATTAGTTGATGCAGTTTCTTCATTGTGTCGATGGTCTTTACAATTTGATATGTTTGTACAGTGGCTAGTACTGCTTTTTTCTTTCCATATTTAGTTCTTCCTTCAGGAGCTCTTGTAAGGCAGGCCTGGTGGTGGCAAAAATCTCTCAGCATTTGCTTATATATAAAGGATTTTATTCTTCACTTATGAAGCTTAGTTTGGCTGGATATGAAATTCTGGGTTGAAAATTCTTTAAGAATATCTAATATTGGCCCCCACTCTCTTCTGTAAAATTTATACAGAGAGATCTTCTGTTAGTCTGAAGGGCTTCTTTTGTGGGGAACCTGACCTTTCTCTCGGCTGCACTTAACATTTTCTCCTTCATTTCAACCTTGGTGAATCTGAATATTATGCGCTTGGGGTTGCTCTTCTCGAGGATTATCTTTGTGGTGTTCTCTGTGTTTCCTGAATTTGAATGTTGGCCTGCCTTGCTAGGTTGGGGAAGTTCTCCTAAAAAATATCCTGAACAATGTTTTCCAACTTGGTTCCATTCTCCCTGTCACTTTCAGGTACACCAATCAAACATAGGTGTGGTCTTTTCACATAGTCTCATATTATTTGGAGGCTTTGTTTATTCCTTTTCATTCTTCTTTCTCTAATCTTGTCTTCACACTTTATTTCATTAAGTTGATCTTCAATATCCATTATTCTTTCTTCTGCTTGATATGCGTGTATGCTTCATGAAGTTCCTGAGCTGTGTTTTTTAGCTCCATTGTGGTCATTTATGTTCTTCTCTAAGCAGGTTATTCTAGTTAGCAATTCCTCTAACCTCTTTTCAAAGTTCTAAGCTTACTTTCATTGGATTAGAACATGCTCCTTTAGCTCGCAGGAGTTTGTTGTTACCCTTCCTTTGAAGCCTGCTCTGTTAATTCATCAAGCTCATTCTCCATCCAGTTTTGTTCCCTTGATGGTGAGGAGTTGTGATCCTTTAAAGAAGAGATATTCTCGTTTTTGAAATTTTCAGCCTTTTTGTGCTGGGTTTTCCTCATCTTCTTGGATTTATCTGCCTTTGGTTTTTGATGATGGTGACCAGGTGGAGTTTTGTGTGAATGTCCTTTTTGTTGATGTTGGTGCTATTCCTTTCTGTTTGTTAGTTTTCCTTCTAACAGTCATGTCCCTCTGCTATAGGTCTACTGTAGTTTTTTGCTGGACATCCACTGTAGACCTTCTTTTTCTGGGTAGCTCTAGCAGAGGCTGCAGAACAGCAAAGATTGCTCCCTTTTCACTTTTCTGGAAGCTTCATCCAAGGGGGACACTGCCAGATACCAGCTGGATCTCCTCTGTATGAGGTGTCTGTCCACCCCTGTTGAGAGGTGTCTCTCTGTCAGGAGGCATGTGGGTCAGGGACCCACTTGAGGAGGCAGTCTTTCCCTTAGGAGAGCTCAAGAACTGTGCTGAGAGATCCACTGCCCTCTTCTGAGCTGTCAGGCAGAAACGTTTAAGTCTGCTGAAGTTACACCCACAGCCGCCCTTTCCCCCAGGTGTTCTGTCCCAGGTACATGGGAGTTTTATCTATAAGCCCCTAACTGGGGCTGCTGCCTTTCTTTCAAAGATGCCCTTCCCAGAGATGAGGAATCTAGAGAGGCAGTCTGGCTACAGTGGCTTTGCCAAGCTGTGGTGGGCTCTGCCCAGTTCCAACTTCCTGGTGGCTTTGTTTATACTGTGAGGGGAAAGCTGCCTACTTAAGCCTCAGTAATGGTGGATGCCCCTCCCCCCACCAGGCTTGAGCATCCCAGGTTGACTTCAGACTGCTGTGCTGGCAGCGAGAATTTCAGGCCAGTAGATCTTAGCTTGTTGGGCTCTGTGGGGGTGGGCTCCACTGAGCTAGACCACTTGGCTCCCTGCCTTCAGCCCCCTTTCCAGGGGAGTGAATGTTTCTGTCTTTCTGGGATTCCAGGCACCACTGGGATACAAAGAATATCCTCTTCAGCTCTCTCAGTGTGTGCCCAAATGGGCTCCCAGTTTTGTGCTTGAAACCCTGGTCCCTGGTGGCATAGGCAGTTAAGGGATCATGGGAAAGGCATAGTATCTGGGCCAGAATCTACCATTCCTCATGGCACAATCTCTCATGGCTTCTCTTGGCTAAGGGAGGCAGTTCCCTGACCCCTTGTGCTTCCTGGTGAGATGATGCCCCACCCTGCTTCTGTTCACCTTCTGTGGGCTGCACCCACTGTTTAACCAGTCCCAATAAGATGAGCTGGGTACCTCAGTTGGAAATGCAGAAATCACCAGTCTTCTGCCTTGATCTTGCTGGGAGCTGCAGACTGGAGCTGTTCATCTCTGGCCATCTTGCCAGCCACCACTGCATATGTTTTCTTATAAGCTGTTCAACAATACTTTAGTAGGTAGAATGATGACCCGGAGAAACATCCAAATCCTTATTTCTGAAATGTTTGAATATGTTAGATGACATGCCACATAGGAGTTTTGCAGATATGATTAAGTCAAGGTTCTCACAATAGGGAGATTGTGCTGGATTATTTGGGTGGTCTCAATGGATCTCAGGGGTGAGAATGAAAGATGGAAGCAAGAGACAGGGTGTCAAAGTGATTCACCATGGGAAAGTCTTGGCCAAGTCATTGCTTATGTTGAGATGGAGGAAGGAGACAAGAGCCAAAGGATGTGGGCCAAGGAATGCAGGCAACCTCTAGAACTAGAAAGGTGGAAATGTGTTCTCCCTGGAGCCTCCAGAATGAAGGCAGCCCTGCTGACACCTTGGATGTTAGCTGATTGAGACTCATTTTAAAATTGTGACCTTCAAAACTATAATATAGTACATTTGTGTTGCTTTAAGCCACTAAATTTATGGCAATTTGTTACAGCAGCCACAGAAATCTAGTAATAAAAATGTTAAGACAGTATTGAATCCTCATTAGAAATGGGAAAATTGACTTCTAAACATGTTATGCTATTCAATATTTAGCCAACATTTCAACGCAGAGCCAGGACTGAAATGTAGACGTTTCCTACACTAAAACCTATCTCCTGGCACTCTCTCTAACTGCCACATCACAGTAGATGTAGAAATATATAATTAAGAAATCATTTTTAAAAGCAAGTGTCTTCATATAACTGATAACAGCAGAATAGCTTTCTTGCAAAATATGAGTATGTACATGCTTGCATGCAATTAAAATGATAGGTTTCATTCTCTCAGTGAGCTTGTGCCCCTGGGCTATGACTTTTACAAGTGCTTCTCTGGTTTTATTGTCTCTAGGTGAGACAATAAATCCTGGTGCCTGATGTCAGGTATTTTTCTTCACCCACTTCAAGGAATACGGGTGGTTTAACTTGAATGTTTTTTTTTCTTACATGAATTAGGCTCAGGTAAATTAGGTTCTTTTGAGGGCAGTATTTTGTTGACAGAACTGAGAGCTCAGACATATTTTTAAATGGTGACTTTTCTGCTTTCCTGATGAAATCGCAGGGGATATTTTTTTCTGTGTGTGTGTGTTTTAACCCTGAAAACATGGTGGTGCTGCTAGAGGTAAAAATCTCAAAAATTTGAGGCCCCCTAAAACTTCTTCCCCCACCCCCAGAGTTTTTAACTGTCAGACTTGTCCATATTGAGCCATCAGTAATTCTTCAATAATACTTTATGTCTTTTTGACAGTACAGCCATAGCAGTGGGCTTCTGCCTCTGAACTTGTTCTTCCTAAGCTTTGATTTTCAGTCCCTGCTTGTCTCTCCAGTTTTCAGGTCAGTGGTTTGCCCAGTGACTTTAATTCTTTGCTGTATATAAAGAAAGTTGTTGATTTTCAGCTTGTTCAGCTTTTTCCTTGTTGAGAGGATGAGAATGATGACTTCCAAGCTTTTTCTATGTTAGATCAGAAAATGGGATTCTGCTGTGTCTTTTTGCATGACTGCATTTGATCATCTGATTGCTTTCTCATGGTCTTCTTGTTCATTTCTTGCTCATTCTTAGAATCACACAATTTCCTGAAGTTGTGTTTTAGTGGAATTGCATATTTGAAGATCACACTTAGAGTATTAGGGATATTTACGGCTATTGGGTTGTCTTTGCTTTTCATTTTTTTTGGGGAAATAGAGCTGGATAATTATTTAATTTTGGAAAGGAATAAATTTTGAATTTGTACTAGTGTTTTGAATTTGTTTCTAATGACAAGAAAACACTTCTCATTTATTTTATTTTCACAATATACATTTACTAGTTTCAAAATGGCAAATGAAATGTTCCCACTAGCAACAATATTATTGAATGCCAGTTAGGATCTCTTTCTGTTCTTTCGTATCTTTATTTTAGTAGTAATTCTTGAAGCCACTTTTGGTGGGGTACTGTGGCAGGCCAGGTCTCACTAATGCAAACCTCCATAACAGTTGTTTCAGTACTGAATGAGTGGTTAAGTTAAACAGTAAGAGCCAGTGCCCTTTTACAAATGCTAGGCTGTAACAAAAGCCAACCAAAAGTTTTGCCTAGGCATCTCCTGGGCCTTAAAACATGACAAAATAATGTAGGAATTATTTACAGGACCCATTTGGAATTAAACAGGTTTTATTATAGGTTCAAAGAAACTCCCCAGGCCTCCATAAACATGTTTACTGGGGGTCTGAAGGAACTCCCCAAACCTTCATGATTTAGCAGGAGACAGATACGGCTGATCACCCCAGCACCTGGACTCATTTAGATTTAAGTAAATTTACTGAGGCTCCAGATGAAGTTCTTCAGTACTCATAACTTAGTTATAGATTAGAAGAAGTTAATCACGTATGTCTGTAGATGTATGCACACTTACATGTAGACGTGTAGCTTAGAAGATATATAAGCTTTGGAAACCTTTGTAATTTTGAGTTGGTCTGGTGTTAATTTCCAGGCCATTTCACTATAAACTGTTACAGAAATAAAAACTCCCTTCCTTGCCAGTTCATTTGCATCTTGTTGTTGGGCCATGAGTAATAGCACCCCAACCCTCAGTTTAGTCTAGGAACAAAATTTGTCATGCCAGCCCAGGAGAGACTTGGGACAGCGCTGTTTTTGGTGGCCAGTGGCTTGCAATGAGACAGTCTTCAGGAGGATCCCACCAGCTGCCAGTGAGATTTTCCTGGGAATTCTCCCAAAGGGTATTCTGTGCACAAAATTGCATGTCCCTTTCACTACTGGGGAAGAACACAGATCAGCAGCAGATGCACTCGAAGGGTGCGGTAACCGATCATATGCCAGGAACCTACTGTTTTCCTATTTGTTCAGTACTGCTGAAGGAAGCAATAGGGTTTGCTCATACACCTGCTTTGCATTTTGGTCAAAATCAGATTTTGAGTTGGTTTTGAGTCTGTTTTGCCTGAGTGCATTCCCCATTGTGTTGTCCAAAAATTGTCTCCACTTATTTGTGTATCTGCCTTATTCCTTTGATATCATGTAAACTTGAAAATGGGAGGTATTGGGTCCATTCCTGCTGAGAGGCCTCTGGGAAGGAAAAATATTTCTTTAGTATCTCAATAATTAAAAGTCAGCTTCATTAAAAGCTAACATCCAAGATGTGTATGTTTATATGTGCATGTATGCATTTGTGCATGTTTGTATTTAAAAGGCCTTCACGTTTTTGTTTCTGTTTTGTTTATTTCTCTCCTAGGACCTTGCCTTTTTGAGCAAAAGTTTTTTTTTCTTGTCAGTTGACTGAATTCTGCTTTCTTCATTAATAGCTATTACAACAGAATCTCCTCCGGGATTTCTAAGAAAAAGTATAATTTAGACACTTGGAAAAGTTTTTGTTTGGAAAAAAAATGTTTTAAATGCACTGTAAAAGCATCACATGGTCTAGCTTCATAATAATTCTCCCTTTTGAAAACCCAGGATTCAGTGTGGGCTCCTAGATCTGGTTAAAGAGTAGGTAGTCAAAATCTAAATAAAGTTAGACTCCTTACAGATTCCTGTAATACATTTCTATAATTTTATGTTTGATTTCCGTATCCATCTTTAATCTCCCTCTAGCACCACCCAGACTTTTTCTCTGTGTACCTTCAGATGTAAATCTTGCTATTTGATTTTTCACCTGAGTTGTTTCTGTTAATATGCAGATTTAGAGCTATTTAGCTGACAAATTCCAGAGTAATAAGCCAGGTTATTAAGAGTTTGCAAGTGTAAGATAGGAAAAAGGAAGTCTTATGAATCTGTAAAATGTGCTTCTATTGGCATGCCTAATAGATCTATGTATTTATGTCTTGTGTACACCATGTTTCATTCCTGAAAATATATAAAAGAGTTCTAATAAATTGGCTCAAAGCAAAATAAAGGCACTTAAATACTTTAACCAAAACAAAAAAAAAGAAAAACTAGCCAAATGCTATTTCAAGTTTATGTGACTTAAGTAAAATCTTTAATAAATAAGCGAGCTTTAAAATCATTGATCAAGTAATATTAGAAATGTCTTAAAATTACCAGCATACATTATTGTTTGCATGTATTGATCAGACAATTTCATACTTTTCCCTGCCATATATTATAAGGTGTCAAAATTTGGCACAGAGGCTACAAAACTACAACTCAGCTCAAAACAGAATGATCTTTGCTCATGTAATTTTTAATAAATAAACCATTAATATTGATTTAATAAAGATAACTACATCTTGAATTATTTAATAAAATACTCTAACTTCTAATCTTGTGGCCTTAGGCAGTCTAGTTCACAGATATGAAGAAAGTTTTCCTGAGAAAGGACTGTTACCATTTTTGTTTCACAGCTAAACTATAAACTAAATGAATGAATAAGAATAGCTTGGAGGTCAGAAACAAGATGGAGTCAGTTAGGTTGGATCATTTTCACTGTCTCAGTTATAATATTGCAATGGTGGTTTCATAACTTTAGATGATGACTATCACAGTTTTTATAAATAATCCAGGTAAGTGTTTAAAATAAATAATTAGATAAATGTAATGGGATAAATACTCATAAACAAATTTGTCATAATTTAGAATCTAAAGTTATATTAAACAACAGATATTTCATTATTTGGGTATTTTCTAATAAAAATATATTTTAGAAAAATGCTCTTTCTAAAAATTATATCCTTTTGAAAGGGTAATTCATTTTTGTCTAATTCAAAACTTACTTTAAGGTCACATATAAAACAAGGTAAAAGAAAGTTATAAAGATAAAAGAATTTCAAAGAGTATTAGTAAAATAAAAATATCTTCAAAAATGTAAACATTTGGCCTAACTTATGCAGGTCAAATATTAGGTTTGCTCATGTTTTTGGACATAAATTGCTTCTTTGACTTAAAAATTGTTCAATCTATTTTGGAGTGTTAAAATCTAGATGAGTCCTAGGGACATATGAAATTAACCATGCCCCTAGCTATGCAAAAAGCTATTAAAGAAAAGAGGTTTAATATAAGAACAGATCTTGTATGGTAAATTCTTGTCCTAAAGTAAAATAACTGGTTGTTTAAAAAGAGGCATGTTTAGGACAAGTCAGAAAGTCAAGGCATGTCGTACCTTGTCTGTGTAGTCATGAAAGAATTTATGAAAGGAAATTTATGCAAGAAATATTGTACAATTTAAAGGTAATTAGACTCCCTAAATACTTTATAAAATATCCCTATGACTCTTAGCTGTACAACTTGCCTGTTTTACAGTTAGGTAAGGCCTAGAACACATGAAGTTAAATGCTGGAATAAATGAGAGTACCTGCACTTCTGTCTAGGTCCTAGGCTCCACTCATAGTACATAATTAAAATCCCAAACTTACCAAGGTTTTCACCAAAAGTAAAGGTTGATAAGAGTTAACAGTGTAACATGTATTTAAGAACTACTGGACCACATGTGGTGGCTCATGCCTGTAATCCCAGCACTTTGGGAGGCCAAGGTGGGTGGATCACCTGAGTCAGGAGTTTGAGACCAGCCTGACTAATATGGCAATATCCCATTTCTCCTAAAAAATACAAAAAAAAAAGAAAAAAAAATAGCCAGGCATTGTGGTGGGCGCCTTTACTCCCAACTACTCG